TGCACAATGTTTACACAGCAAACCAGATTATATAAATTTTCATTCTAACCAAAAATACTGTCTGACAATAAGCAGATAAAGAGAAAACAGAATAAATCAATTTCACTGAAGTCCTTCCCTCTACAGCCCTTCATCTGGTAAAAATTATTTATTTTGTGTAATTATCAACTTTCACTAGCATTGTTCTTTTTAGCAGCCAGCTAGCACAGCAGCATCTGGTAAAGCCATCTAAAGATCTATTTCAGGATCTCTTCACAAGCAATTAGAAATCTACTGCCTGATCATAAAGTTATTTAAGCTGAAAAATGACACAGAAAACCTTTTCCTGAAAGAATACTTCTAAATCTTATTTAACTAGAAATTATGGCTTCACCTCAGTATTTGGCAGTTGTACCAATTGTATGAGTTGTACCATGGCTGTTAGCATCCTGCACATTTTTACATAAATTTGTAAAGCACTTTATTCCTATCTGAGGCTCAGTTCTGCTCCAACTACTGAGGTATGCGAGTATCTTACCTGCTTTATATATTTTATTCTAAACACACTCTGGCAAGGCTGAAGTTTAGAGTCCTTGTTTTTGGGCTCCTGCTACTTGGGAGAGGTAATTTTCCCAAAAGCAACCTGGTAAGTGGCCACAAAGAAACCAGAATAGCCTGGCTCTTTGGTCTAACACCTGTTGAAATTTCTTTAGTTAATATTCCCCTATATGTGTTTAATAAGTTAAATCAGTCTGATAATGAGATGAGAAAGGATATGTTAACTTTTAATCCACAATTACATGCATAAAAGCTACAGTCTACCTGCATGGCTCCAAAAAGTACTTGCTCTTGTTTACTAAGGATGACAAAACAAACCTATGAATGACTGGGAGAGAAAAGAGGAGATGGAAGGTCATAAAGTATGAACAACAGGCTAAGAGACCATGTAATCCACCTTTGGATTTCACGTCTGTAATCTGTCTTCATAAGCTTAGTAAAAAATACAGGGATGAAGCAAGTATCTGTAAAAGACAAAGGGGCCAGAAGGGACATTATCTATCTCATTGAAACCTAACCCCCCTAAATTTCATGAGCTCTGTCTCTTCTTTCCACTAATGCACAGCAAGGATAATCCCAAACTGCTAGAGGCTGTGAGAAGAGATCAAGCCCCTCTCCCAGTGCTGCAGTTAGGCAGGCAAGTAGCCAGCCTGAGGCCAGAGCTCTTAGATCAGTTTCTAGTTGTGTCCTGAATGTATTTTAATATATTTCAAAATTTTTATTGTTGTCAAACTCAATTTTTCCAGCATTATGTAAATTTTTTATCCAGCCTATGGTGGAGCTTTCAATTGGTTTTTGTTCACTCCAAAAGCTGTTGACTGTGCTGGTTTTCTTGCTCTTTATAAAGCATTGGATACACCAATGTGTTTGAGACACAAAGAGCAGAGGAAGCTTGTCTTTTTTTGGTCCAGTTCTGAATGCAGTGTAATTAAACATGGCCCTTACTATTTTCTACAGACTATTTTCCACTTGTGGTTGGAAGTAGACTGCATGGGCAAGTAGCACATGTTTTCTTTTAGTTCTCCATATGAGTGTGTAGATGCCCAATATGTGAAAATTATTTTCTGGCAAGGGATGTTACAAGGAACTGGCTCCCTTTTTGTTCTACATATTTCACTCAGATTTCCTGGGGCTCTCTCTTTATCCCCAAGATCATTATTCAGTCTCTTGGTGGAAAACTAAGAACGTAATTATAGCATGGTGGTTTTAACCTTGACAACAAATGTCTCAAGAACACTCCAGTGAAAGGGGAGTTCACTTAGCTCTTCTGACCTTCCCTTGCAACTCAAGCACTATTTGGTGTTCTTCTTTCCTTGCCCTACACTACTTTGAAACATGGCTATGCTCTGACACGCTTTATATCCACACAGTAAGTGGAGCAGCTTACGTTCTCGCTCACACAAAGGTATTCTTGATAATTATACTACAAAGCTGGATGCAATGAAGAGAAATACTGGCTCAGGAAGTACAATTAGAACGATCTTCCTCATACCTTGCAGGTGCACCTATGAGTCTAAGAAACTGCCATTCAGTTTGCTCCATCCAGAGAAAGCAATGTCATAGAAAATCCTGCAAAAGCAGAGGTGATGCCAGTACTAGGTTACAGCAGAAGCACAATTCACATGAAACTGCAAAAGTCTTCTCATAGACTGGGGCAAAGTGAGTTCAGTCCATGGCCTGTAAAATGCTCTGATGTCTTCTGGTATGAAAAGCACTGTACTGAAGCAAGCAATTATCACTTGTTCTGAGCATGCAGAGAACTACTGCAGTTGGCAGGAACTCTCAAGTGAGCTCACTGTGGTGTTTTTAAATAAATATGTTCCAGAAGATGTTTTTTAACTCTATTTAATTAAAAAATTAAATCTGGAAGCAAGCACTCAATTACCCCCTCCCAAGCATTTACAGGTGTTCACAGTACATCTGCTTCAAGCCACTCCTTTTTTAGATTGTGGGAAGACAGTATGAACTGTTCCACCAGAGAGCTGACGTTTTAAATAGCAGCATAGTACTGACTGTCTGCCAGAGTAACGTTTCTTCATTGATTAGGTCAAGCTGTGAAATACTGAGCCAGGCAGAGACATGGACTTCAACTGGCACCTATCACTCAACAACTTCTGCTGCTAAAAGGAAAAGTTCTTGTACATCCTTCTGCTGCAGGTTTCAGGCCATATGTGCTACTAATTTATCTCCATAATGGTTTCATATACTATATGAAAGTAGGAGGAAGACACAAGATGCTATGTTTGCACTTCATCCTTTCAGTGATTACTAAAACCATTACAGAATCACAGAATCTTAGAGGTTGGAAGGGACCTCAAAAGATCATCTAGTCCAACCCCCCCTGCCAGAGCAGGGTCACCTAGAGTACATCACACAGGAACGCATCCAGGTGGGTTTTGAATGTCTCCAGGGAAGGAGACTCCACAACCTCCCTGGGCAGCCTGTTCCAGTGCTCTGACACTCTCACAGTAAAGACGTTTTTTCTGATGTTTATGTGGAACCTCCTATGTTCCAGTTTGCACCCATTAAACCCTTGTACTATCACTGGACACAACTGAAAAAAGCCTAGCTCTGTCCTCCTGACACTCACCCTTAACATATTTGTAAACATTGATGAGGTCGCCCCACAGTCTCCTCTTCTCAAGAGACCCAGAGCCCTCAGCCTTTCCTCACAAGGGAGATGTTCCACTTCCTGAAGCGTCTTTGTGGCTCTGTGCTGGACTCTTTCATAGAATCATAGAATCTTAGGGGTTGGAAGGGACCTCAAAAGATCATCTAGTCCAACCCCCCCTGCCAGAGCAGGGTCACCTAGAGTACATCACACAGGAACGCATCCAGGTGGGTTTTGAATGTCTCCAGGGAAGGAGACTCCACAACCTCCCTGGGCAGCCTGTTCCAGTGCTCTGTCACTCTCACAGTAAAAAAAATTATTTTTGGATATTCACCTTGAACCTCCTATGCTCCAATTTGCTCCCATTACCCCTTGTCCTATCACTGGTCATCACTGAGAAAAGCCTAACTCTGTCCCCCTGACACTCACCCCTTACATATTTGTAAACATTGATGAGGTCACCCCTCAGTCTCCTTTTCTCCAAGCTAAAGAAACCCAGCTCCCTCAGCCTTTCCTCATAAGGGAGATGTTCCACTCCCTTCATCATCTTAGTAGCTCTGCACTGGACTCTTTCAAGCACTTCCCTGTCCTTCTTGAACTGAGGGGCCCAGAACTGGACACAATACTCCAGATGCAGCCTCACCAATGCAGAATAAAGGGGGAGGAGAACCTCTCTTGACCTACTAACCACACCCTTTCTAATGCACCCCAGGATGCCATTGGCCTTCTTGGCCACAAGGGCACATTGCTGGCTCATGGTCATCCTCCTGTCCACCAGGACTCCCAGGCCCCTTTCTCCTACACTGTTTCCAGCAGGTCAGCCCCCAACCTGTACTGGTCCATAGGCTTGTTCTTCCCCAGATGCAAGATTACAAGACTAAAAAAATATTATTAGAAAGTCCAAAAGATTACTGACTCTTGGAATGCATTTTTTATTCTGACCTTGATAGTAAATGCAAAAAGAAAGACACTGTGTTTCAGCAATCAGCTGCAATGCAAGATGAAAACTTCTGACTTCATTTAGCTTCACTGAAACCCCTTAGACAGTGACAGCTGTGTGTAACAGGAACTGGTTAAGCTGCCATCTAGGTTAAAGTATTGAGCTCAGTCAAGTATTGCCTGCAGTCCTTAGTTACTGCACTTAGTTACTGTTATATGTTTATCTGTTGTACATCTCAATCAGTCCACACTTCCAGCAGCAACTGGGAGAATAATCTGCAAAAAGCTTCAGAATCACTATCAAAAAGAAAATGAGGTATCGTTGTCATGCCCTTGCTTTTGGTTACTCCATAGCAGTCTGGGAGGAACAATTTAGCTGATTTGCTTCATTATTTCTTGATAGAAAAGTCAACTGTGTCACAATGAAATTCCCATACCAGGGCAGGTGATAAATATGCAAGAGGCTGAGTGCTCACTTAATAACCTTATCCTCCTGCTACCACTAGTGATACTTTGTTCAATTTTGAAGCAAAGAAACTGCCACATAAATATCATAAACTAAACCATTTAGCCCAGGAATACAATGTGCTCAGATGGGCTGACACTGAACTTGATACAAAAGAATCAGGTCAAGATGGATCACTTAGGAAAAACAACACAGTGAGATTTTTTTCAAAGAACTGTATTTTTGTCCCCCTTTGCCTGTATCTATGTATTTAAACATTCACATATGCATATATTACTTCCTGGTTGGTGAGGATTTATTTAATGGCACCAGGTATTTTTTTGATGAAACCAAATGCAGCAAAAAAAAAAAACCAGGGTGTAAGTGACCCTGCCTCACCAATGCCAGTGGCCCGATTAGCTCCTCTTTTCTCAGGTGGTGCTGATGATCTCAAGCTGATTTACCTACCAGCTGTGTAATTCTGCAAAAGCAGCTTTGATCTTCTTCACTGAATTATCCACTTCCTCTTTAATCATCATACGATATCTAGTTAGAGAAACAGTGCAACGTTGCAAGTCTTTTACTGATTTTTCAATGTTCGGCCCTAAAATAGAAGACAAAAATTGCACAAAAGTCAGAAAGTTGATTTTGTCTTTTCTGAATGAGGGAGCAGGAACAGTTTAGTGTGCTATTTGCCCAGATTAGGAAGAAGTGGTTATCCTACTGAAATCCATAAAACCAATTTTTCCATAGTCCTTCTTCCATGGTGCTCTTTCTAAGCTTCTAGGCATGGTTGCTCAAATATATTCCCCAAATTGATGTAAACAGCACTATCAAATCAAAGTATTTATATTAAATTTCATTTAATATATTAAATAGACCACTCAATTTTCTACTCATTTTTGCTATGCTGAGCATGATTCTGCTCTCACTTTCCAACACATCTCTTTTCATTTAAGTGGTCTTTTTCCTTAGATGCCTCAGCTGTCTGATCATCTCAGCACACAACAACCAGGGACCCAATTTACCTCTTTTTTTGACTGAATCATCTGTCTTTGTATCAAGCTGGGTTGTAGCATTGGATGATTTAACTGAGGAAGATTTTGACTTTGGCCTGCCTAGGTTACACTGGAGTTGAACTGATGACTGAAGAGACTCATGCTGTTCTACTCCATTTATAGCCTTTGGGTTTAATTCCACAGATACTCTCTGGTGTTCTTGTTCTTTGTCTGCAAGAAAACATTAAGGCAGAAACTGGAGATATATGATTAAGAACCATATGAAGCCTTGTTGTTGAGTCTGAATGACTTCATGTTTATACATGGAAAAATCAAGGGTTTTTTTCACTGACATGCATTTTACAGAACTGCAGGAAGCAATGACAGAAGAGAAACAAAATGGTTTCGGTCATTAAACACTAATCTATGTTTCAACAGTCTACAAAGAAAAACCTATTAAAAAAAAATCAACTGTTCCATGCTGACATGAAAAAATACCTCATATCACAGAAAGCATACCACTAATCTAGTTTCAACAGTCTACAAAGAAAAACCTATTAAAAAAAAAATCAACTGTTCCATGCTGACATGAAAAAATACCTCATATCACAGAAAGCATACTACCAATTCTAACCTTTGCCCAAATATTAAAGAACTACAGAGGATGTCTGCTATGGAAAGCATGGGACTTTAATGTTGAAAGACATACCTATTTCACACACAAAACGTTCATAATTTAATCAGCATTTTAAAATCACTGATTAAAACATTCCTATCTGAAATACTTACCTTGCCTGACTACAGATTTAGCAGCTGCTAAGAGGAATCAAAGAGGACACGAAGCAATGTAAAAGATTAGGTTCCTGCGTTCAACAGCTTTGGAGGGTAAGATAAAGCCTGAGCCTGTTTGGCTGTCACAAGATGACCTGGTTTACTCTTTCCAAAACTCCAAAAGGATTCAAGATATCAGTATCATCTTGGAGGAATAAGCAGCCAAAGAATGGATGTGGAAACTGACAGGTAAGGCCAGCTATTACTGCCACTGTGAATTTTAGTTAAGAAAATATGCATAGAAAATTATTTGTTAACTCTATTTTCTAATCTTTGTACTCACTTTGATAAATTAATGATGGTTTGTTCTTAAAAAGCCATTTATGCATGACTTTATTCAGCTGATGTGTGGTGTCTGGAGAAAAGTGCCTTGTCACATTAACAGCTGGATTGTAGCCCATGGAGGGAGATTAATGCTGCTGGGACTGATGAATACCACCTGGACAACTCCAGGATATCACCTAGTGATGACTTGTGCTCTAGCTGGGCACTACGATGAGTGTAAAGTACATCTTGATATGTTTCCACAGCAATCACAATGTCAGAGGAACAAGGAGGAACACTACTGCCCACATTTCTAATTTGTGGCCTTTTTCTCTTCAAGATACTGAGAGGGAGAGATCCTGAACTGACTCATAATTAATCAAAACACTCCCTAAGGCCCTCCATAATGAGGTAACTTGGCTTTTCAGGGCCTTGAATTCTGTACTTCATTTTCTCTAGCAGGTCTTGATTGCCTGTGGGAAACCATCATATAAAAAAGCAACAACTTAAGACTTCTCAGAAAAAGATGGAATAACGGCAGGAAATAAGCACACCTGAACAAAAGGTAATAGCCACATCATCTCCCCTATCATTTTTTGAGCACTGGACAGACAGAGAAGCACCATCTAAACTGCATCCTCCCTTCTAGTCCCCGAACTCCCTTCCAGACAGCCAGGATTTTATGGCTCAGAAAGACCTAATCTCACGGACCGTGAGTTGGTATAAGCAAAGCTTCAACCTCGTGTTCCTTATGGAGATGAAAGCATAAAGGACTGTCAGCAGACACTCGACTATGATCCTTCTGAGCTGTAAACTGTCTGAAGGTGATGCAAAATGACTACAGCAACATTGATTTGATAGGGAAGGAATCAAAACAAACAAGCCAGACAAGGACAAAACAAAGGAGATTACAACACAAGAGGGAGCAATATGAAACGGCTGCACTTGGACTCATTTCAGCATTTCAAACCGATTTAGAACAGTCTGTGTGACTTGCTCAGAAACTACAAGGCCACAGTTGCTGGCTCCTGAGGGATCCTGATCACCCTTCTCTTCTATTTAGTTACATGCACTTCAGCACAGATTTAACAGTAAGTATATTGGTGGCTTTGGACCTCAAGAAAATAGCTACTATACTGGCTGCAAAGACGAAGATTCTAGTGCAAATGAAAGTAAAGAAGGAACTTTCCTTCTCTGTATTAAAGAAATTGCCTGGAACTTGAAGGGACACATGAATGTTAAAATTTCAGGTTTTCCTTTATCTCAATTTTCTTTCCTTTTTCACCTTTATTTTCTCCCTCTCTCCCCCATATTTGAAACATGTGCAATGTGTAAAAGTTGACAAAAATTGTAAAGCTATGCTAGTATCTCATTTGTCACTTGTAAAAGCAAATAAAATTGAGATACTTTTTTTTTGCTCTCAGCATGTACAACTCCACACTTTATAATGTCACAGAAAAAAGGTCTCAATCCCAGAACAGTACAAAAATATCACTAAAAGCATACTCTTCTTGCATTCAGGTCTGTTACCCCTAGAAAACGCTCCTCATGCATAGATAATTCAGTCTTTATTCAAGCATTTTCAAAAAAGGCAAATCTAAGTCTGACTTGGAAGCTTGACATATATTTATACCACAAATGTTTATGGATTGCAGAATAGGTGGCAGGAATGCTTTTAGTATTATGGAAATGCAGCATTATTTGGCTTATTGCATATTCAAAGTAGAGTGGGAGTCTTTAGCAAGGGTGGGAAGAGTATCTGTGATCCTTTGTGAGGCACCACATTCTTAGGACAAAATTTCTTGATAAGAAGTTTGTCTATTTAACTGTTACAGGTTGCAAAGTTTTCATTTAATTGACCGGAGGTTGGGACTACGAAAGTCATCTGGAAGCAGACAATTCATTTTAGGATAATTTTCCATTTAGCACATTCCTTTACAATGAGGTTTGAGAGCTGTATTTGCAACCATGCAAAACAGGATTTCAAGGAAAGTACTTTCAATGCAGTCTTACCTACTGCTGAAGACACAGGAAGAAAATACCAATACCAGCAATAATGTAGGGCTGTCAAGAGTTTGAAATGTCTTTGAAAGCTTTTGTAGTCAAGTATCCTTCATACAGCTTTCATAGAGCTTCTACCCCAGAGGAGGAGATTTGTTTTCAATGCTGTTGCTGAAGCTGTAACTCTGTATTTACTACAACCCAGCAGGCTTCTGTGTTACTGAGCCACAGTTTCAGAATCAGTACCTGGAGCCTAACAGAAACAGGTAGGTACTGAGAGACTATCAGACTGCTTTTCCTCAAAGATCTGCCCTTCCCTTTTAGGGAGAGCCACTGGAATTCTACTGCAACCAGCTTATCTGGGGAAGATAAGAAAAGGACAAAATGGACTAGTCTGGACTAGGCAATAAAGAAATCTTGCAATATGCTCCAAGCTCATACTGCTCAGATGACTTTGCTCCAGATGAGGGACTTTATTGCTTCTGTCACCATTTTACACTCAAGCCATTTTCTAACATTACATTTTTCTGTAATTTTATCTGTAATATTCTCTATCAGCTGGAACTCTAATGATAGTTTGGTCCTTTTGTCTCTATAAAAAAAAAAACACAACACATTTTGCAAGGAAACATATTGCAAGGTGAATTATGCTCAGATACATGCATGACTTTAATAGTGATGTGCATTATTTTGCACAAACACCTCTATCCAAAGTTTTATTATAGTCTACTTCATGGCCATAAAAATACCATGATCTTTAAGTAAATGGGGGCTTGGTTATAGCTAGTTAAAAAGGTGTCTTGTGCCAACTGAACTGACCTCTGATTTCTGGACAGACCAGTGCTGACTCTACAAATCCTGAGCCTTTCCTCTTAGGAGAAGTTGTTTCCAGTTTCTGATTGGCAGAACCACTGCAAGAGTTGTCCTTTGAGCATCCATTCTGATGGCAGTCACATATTCCCAGCGGATCTTGGGACACCTTCTCAGGTCCACTATTCTTGTTTTTAGGATCTTTATTGCCTTGGTGCTGCTTAGGTTTGTTCCTTTTTCTCCTATTGTTCTATGGAGAAATTGTGCAAAAACAGAGACATCAGTCAGTGCAACTCAGAAACTCAAAATATTACCAGCAAATTGTCCACATTCTAAAAACACCACACAAGTGACATCAGTCTTATGCAATTTACAGGCCCTACTGTGCTATACAACAACACATTGCACCTGTTCAGCTGAATATAAACACTTCAAAATAAAATCTGAAGGCCCAAACTGGTTTTCCCCTTTCTTCCACACAAAATTCTTGCATTGCAAAATTGTAACAGAGCCTCTGCCAAGATGCTGCTCAAAATGTCTGCAGTCACTTAGGACAAGCAGTTCTTCATAACCCAGGGTATATGCACATAGTAACACACAAATCCTTTAGGCATCACTCTAATCAGGCAGAAAGTGATCACAGAGAACATAGGCTGGCCACTGCTATTGTAGCTCTCCCAGCCATAAAGAGGAATCTCCATGACAATGACTCACAGGGCAGCCTCCTGGTACAGCTGCAGCTTGGAGATACATAAGCATGAAGATTATGTCCCAAATATCTACTTTAAGTACCTGACTTGATAGTGTCACTACTGGATGACTCCTGTGCATAAGTTATTCCTATACCTGGCAGCAAAACCACTATATGTGGTTGTGACTATCCAGTATACAATTGTTTATTAAGTGTTTCTGCACATGGACTGGTTAGGGATTCATCCTGTACTTGTCCACGGTCTGGCTCCTACTCACATGTACACACACATGCTGTTCAGAAATTCTCTCAGAACAGTGGGCTAGAGAGACAGCAAAAAATTAACAGGGATAAACATAATACACGTAAAGTCACCTACGTCAGCAGAGACAGACAATGTACTGGCCAAAATAAAAGTACTACATTCAACTACAAACAGTTGATAAATGGTCTTAATGATTTTCTTCTCAAGAGCAAATTCTTACCTTCTTTTTCCCTGTCATATTCCATTCCTTTAAAACCTGAGTTGCGCTGCCTAGGAAAAAGAAAGATAAAACATTTCAACATAAGTTCAGCTACGCACAAAAACAAGTGTGTTCAAGAACAGTTTCTAGTCTCCTAGCTGAGACTAATTTCCATTTGTTGTTGCAAATTCTTATGTGGGGAGAACAGAATGGGTACTGCCAACTTCCTCCTTTTTTGTCACACATTTTATTTTATTACATACATAAGAGTGGATGGGATGTTTGGCTCCACTGCTTTTTATGGCCTTCATTCCACAAAGTGATTAAGTGGATGCCTAACTTAAAGCACTACCATAAGCCCCTGAAAAATCAACACTCAGGTCTCTTGCCTGAAAAGGGAAACATCTCAGCACCTTAGTACACACACTGGGTAAACTGGATAGTCAACCCTGACTCTAGAGCTCCTGAGGGTTTTGAAAGATTTTGGCATTTATCATAGACTTCCTATGTGTTATCTGTCATATTCAGAAGACATAAGATGACAAAAGTGAAGAATTAATTAGAATCCAAGAGTAATTTCACTAACTCCAGCAGAAATTCTGCATCACACAAACACAGTAAACTTAGACCTAGCAGATAAAAGTTGTTGAAATTATACTGAAAAATAATTAAATTTTTGTATACTTGTAGTTTTGTCCACCAGCCCTAACGAGTTGGTTATATATATATTTATGGAACAAAGCAAGCAAAGCCCTGGTTAGACCAGTGCCAGCTGCTGTGTTAGAAGGAAACTCTTCTGCATTTAGTTAACATCATTATTTTGTTCTCCTGACCCCAAAGCTGAAAATAGAAATTGATGGTTAGGAGGGAATCTGAATCAATATCCAAACTACAATAGCAGTATCTCCCACAATAATCCTTATAATCATAACCAGGTTGAAGGTCTTCTGCTTGAATTTAAGAATCATTTCACCAACGTTGCATAACTATAGCTAATATTAATTATCCCTTCAAAATGGATTTCATACTCGACCATCCTTCTTACTAATTTCAGTGAACTCTTGAGGGCATTAGTATTAAGAAGTAATGCTGTTTTCAGACAACCATAAGCTGTGAACTTGTATTCCGCCAAAGATGCGTGAGGTTTTCAAATGTACCAAAATTACTTTCTTTGAGGTCACTTCACACCCAAACCATGTTATGATTCTACAAAAAATTATTTTTCTATCACAATAATCCAGATCCAAGATTATCTGCTGAGTCCATTGCACACATTAGAGGAAACTATATGTCTAGTAGTGCCAAGCATAATTTGTCAAATCGTGAAAAAATGTGTATGGCATCCAAAGCCAAATTTAGTTTCCTAGATGACATGACAATGCAGACAAAGGTTAAGATAACTTCTATTATGGGTATACCTATACATATACCTACCTTAAGTTATACACATACATACTGAAGCACATCTAAATAGAACTCAATCTCCTAAAGACATGCTATCTTTTGACAGACACCACACATCAGTATGTAGAAATAAACCCAGACATCTGCTGTCCATTTTACTCCATGCTGCTGAAAATAAGCGATTTCCCTTGACAGCTTTTGTGTTGGCTGGTATTGTCTTAGCTTTGCTTCCCTCAGCTTCCCTGTGTACACTATGCATGACGAGGGTTATTTTGGGGTTTCAGTCAACTAACCCATTTCCACCTGTTGGAAATGCACTAACCATACAAGTTCCAAAGCCCTCATTTGAACCCACAAGTGTATTTTCTTGAAAACATGTACAGACCAGCTAAACAGAGCTTCTGATTTATTGTATTAGGTAAACACTAACATAGGAAGTGAACATTTGAACCGCTATTTAACTCAAATTTGACATATAGAAATTAAATCATAATAGAGACACCACCTAATTGCCAGTCCAGTTATAAAGCAAGAGAGGAGCTAATATCAGGAAATTAAGTTTTAGCATTTCTTGGTTCAGCATGCAGCACCTCTGAGAGCAGCATTAAATGGAGGTGCTCAGCTTTTTCACTCGGCATGGCTGTCCCAGTATTTTTCACTGCATATGGCAACGCGTTCACTGCGATTGGGTTATTTCAATCTTTGCAATTTTTGTCATTCATGTGAAAAGATACCAGAAGTGCTAGATTCATTTTACCCACAGTGGCAGTTGACTGGACACACATCTTTTCTCACATTGCTTCCAGACAGTAACAGATACTGGCTGTTTTCAATTATTCACTTGCAAAGACTTCTGAACTCAAGGCACAATGATTATAAACCGGTGAAGTTCAAAGAAAGATCATTTGAACTCAGGTAACTACAGCTTACTTTTCTACAACCTCGTTGCACTCTCCAAAGCTTCCTTTTGCCCTGTTTCTTCCTCACAGCAGATGATGACACGTGGCTATGAAAGCACTTCCCCTTTTAAGGATCCATGAGAAAAAACTCAGAGCACAAGTGAGCAATGGTAATTTAAGACAAAATAAATTAAAAGAGAGTAACTTAATAATTACAGGGCAATGCTCCACTACAATCCCTGGGACATGTCACAGGAGAATAAAATTACTGTTAATTAGATGCATCCAATTTTCCTTTGTGTGTGAGTGTGCACTAACAAAAACCAATTTCCATACATCTATCAGAATCTAACTTTCTTTGCTGATGCCTGGATCAAGAGGCACCATTTAAATCTGATGGAAGAATTCTGATACATTTATAAATGGTTTTTTTTGCATCTCGGTAAGTAATTTCTAGTATATCATAATGCTTTTTATAAATTAATTCAATTAATTCATGAGCCCCAGATTCATATAGCCCCAGAAGTCAAGACAGAGGAGGAGTTTGACATGGTAGATGAGGATTGGGTTAGGGATCAGTTGAGTAATCTGGACATCCATAAATCGATGGGTCCGGATGGAATGCATCCAAGGCTGCTGAGGGAGCTGGCGGAGGTCATTGCTAGGCCACTCTCCATCATCTTCAGTAAGTCATGGGCAACAGGAGAGGTGCCTGAGGACTGGAGGATAGCAAACGTCACACCAATCTACAAGAAGGGCAAGAAGGAGGACCCGGGTAACTACAGACCGGTCAGCCTCACCTCCATCCCTGGAAAGGTGATGGAACAACTTGTTCTTGTCACTATCTCCAGGCACATCAAGGACATGGGGGTCATCAAGAGCAGTCAACATGGTTTTATCAAGGGTAAATCATGTTTGACTAACCTCATAGCCTTCTATGAGGAAATTACTAGGTGGATAGATGATGGTAGAGCGGTAGATGTGGTTTATCTTGATTTCAGTAAAGCATTTGACACCGTCTCCCACAGCATCCTTGTAGAAAAGTTGATCAGGTATGGGTTTGGTGACCAGGAAGTGAGGTGGATTAGGAACTGGTTGAAAGGAAGGAGTCAGAGAGTTGTAGTCAATGGGGCAGAATCTGGTTGGAGGTGTGTGACTAGTGGAGTCCCACAGGGGTCGGTACTGGGACCGGTGTTGTTCAACATCTTCATCAACGACCTGGATGAGGGTATAGAATGTACCCTCAGCAAGTTTGCTGATGACACTAAGCTGGGAGGAGTGGCTGACACACCAGAAGGCTGTGCTGCCATTCAGAGAGACTTAGATAGGTTGGAGAGTTGGGCGGGGAGAAACATGATGAAATTCAACAAGGGGAAGTGCAGAGTTTTACATTTGGGGAAGAACAACACCATGTCCCAGTACAGGTTGGGGGCTGAACTGCTGGAGAGTAGTGTAGGTGAAAGAGACCTGGGGGTCCTGGTAGACAGGAGGATGACCATGAGCCAGCAATGTGCCCTTGTGGCCAAGAAGGCCAATGGCATCCTGGGGTGCATTAGAAAGGGTGTGGTTAGTAGGTCAAGAGAGGTTCTCCTCCCCCTCTATTCTGCATTGGTGAGGCCACATCTGGAGTATTGTGTCCAGTTCTGGGCCCCTCAGTTCAAAAAGGACAGGGAACTGCTCGAAAGAGTCCAGCGCAGAGCTACGAAGATGATTAGGGGAGTGGAACATCTCCCTTATGAGGAAAGGCTGAGGGAGCTGGGTCTCTTTAGCTTGGAGAAAAGGAGACTGAGGGGTGACCTCATCAATGTTTACAAATATGTAAGGGGTGAGTGTCAGGGAGATGGAGTTAGGCTTTTCTCAGTGATGACCAGTGATAGGACAAGGGGTAATGGGAGCAAATTGGAGCATAGGAGGTTCAAGGTGAATATCCAAAAATAATTTTTTTTACTGTGAGAGTGACAGAGCACTGGAACAGGCTGCCCAGGGAGGTTGTGGAGTCTCCTTCCCTGGAGACATTCAAAATCCACCTGGATGCATTCCTGTGTGATGTACTCTAGGTGACCCTGCTCTGGCAGGGGGGGTTGGACTAGATGATCTTTTGAGGTCCCTTCCAACCCCTATGACTCTATGATTCTATGGTTCTATGAATTCAAACCAAACCCTAAACTATTCTGAAGTAAAATAGATACGAAATAAGCAACTTGGTAAGATGGCATTCTTACAGCTTTTGAGACCACTGAACTTCTAGATCTTTGAAACATCTCCAAGCTACAAAGATTTTTTAGAGGATTAGATCGTGGCATCCTATTACTCTTGCAAAGGGTTTCTTACAGATTTTGTAATTATTTTTTGGTGAAGGTTCAAAATACTTGCCATTACATATTTATCAGAAAACTGTTAATTAAATATAAGTGACCTTTCATTAGAGATGGTCTCCTGATGCATAATACAAACTCAGATTCAGATTGAGAACAGCCTAAACTTCCAATGGAGTCTTCGTTCAGCCATAAATGTCAAGGATATTTGCAAAACTCAGACTGAGGTTTGAATGTCAATGTATGCATCAAGTTCAGGGGTTTAGGAGCCTGGTTATCTGCTTCAGAACTATCCCAAATTCTTAGTAGTTACTTTATCTTCAACCATGAATCATATTGTGACACATTTACTTCAAAGAGCATTAACTTTCATGCAGAATGAAGAAGGTCTGCAACAAGAACGGCTCCAAAAAATGGCAAAGTTGGTTAGGACTCAATAGCCACGTCAAGCATACTGTGAGGAGGAAAAGATGTAAACAGGAGGATCAGCTGTTAAAAAACAATAAACTTTCTAAGTGTCACAATCATCTGAATTACAGCAGAACAACAGAGTATTTTGAGCCACTGGAGACAAATACTTTAGCATCCAATTGCATCCCTTAACGGCTTAGTGAAAAAGGTCCATTTTACTCACCATCCATGAAAGCTTGAACAGCCTTGTCTACATTGTTATCAAACTGCTGCAGCACCAGAACTATCTCGTTATTGCTTTTGTTTGGAACAATTGATCGGATTGCATTGATCTAGAAGGAAAAAAAAAAAAAAAAAGAGGAAGACAATGACATAAAGATTTATCCTACTCCTTGAGACAACAAGGTACCTCTGTGCTGATCCAGGTTTATATAAATGCACATTACACATTATGTGCTTACAAGTATAAAAACATGTATCTGTACAAAGCAATACGCATCCTCTCCTTACCTGGCCCATGCTTATAATGAAAACAATTTCAAGGGACCAAATTATAGAACTGGTAGCAAGTAAGGCTGGAATCAAGTCCTATCTGCAGTCATAGTGGAGAGAACTAGTTTAACTGACAAAATTTAGCCTTACACTTCTTCCCTAAATGTTCTATTTGCTGCCATGTGACTTAACAAGATCCATCACATAATGCAAACTTATGGAACACAACTACTTCAGCAACACTGTTGCATGCCCTTGTTACATAGAAGTTCCAGTTTGTGTTTTCTTAACATGTGGAAAACAGCCATATGCCTGAAAAAAGTCACAGCCTAAAAAAACCAAAACACAACAGTATAATTTTTAAATGTTCTAGTGGCATCTCAGCATGATTTCAGTTTGCTGTTCTGTATATAAGTTACCAGGAAGCTTGTGTAGCAAAATTCTGAATAAAGGACAGAGGAAGCCAAATGTTTCCTTCAGGAAACTCTGCTGATGGATGAGGTGTTACACCCACAGATGATTCTAGCATGCCATGCTTCAATTTCACAGTATTTTCTATTGCCATATTGTCTTCAGTATCTGTTTATATCAAATGGTAATTCAACCACTATGTTTTAAATAAAATATTCCTACTGGAATCACGTTGATTTACTTCCTCATGTCCATGTAACACAGCTGAAAGTAACTAGTTACACAAAACTTAATTACTATATTGTTTAAAGCTTTACTAGGTAGAAAAAAAAACAACTTGGTTAAATGTAGTTAACAAAACTAACAAAAGGCTATAGTAGTACTCTGAAAAAAACAAGAGAATTGGTGCCACAAGCAGTCTAGCTGCTCCAAATCAATTTTTCTGAGCTTCTGTGTAAAGCTATCCAGCATGTATCTACTACTAGAAACTTATTATTGCACTGCAAACGTTTATCCAGCAATCCTTCTGTGGGAATACGTCCTTGCTTTGGGTGTACTTTACTTACAGCATCACAGTGTTGTCATGCTAATTTCTGACTGTGAAGCACTGATGGCCTTTTCATCATACTGTGAAATAAAACTGTGAAAAAAAAAAATTACATGATATAAAAATACACAGCCAGTTCCCTGTTTAAGGGAACTAGGCTGACTTACATGGTGAGAGTGTTCACAGCACCTTGTTTTAGCTGTCCATGTAGATGGTGAAGAACAATCTTTTGAGATTCCCATTACAGAGTCTCAATCAGTGGACACACCAGAAGGTGATTCAAAACACTTAAGTGCTTGGATTTATGACCAAAAACCTTATTTTGCTGTAGTATGCTCACCCCACTTCTCAAATGCTCTGTTTCCCTGTCCTGTATACTTACAGAAGCCATGACTCACTTTTGGTTCTGTGAATGTACAGTGGCTGATTCATGATGCCATTTCAGCATCACAAAAGGTTGATGTTTGCTTGAGTTAAATCCATACAGGATCAAACTTTCTGGAGGACACTTTATAGATGAGCTCAATCTCTCATTGCGTAAAGATGACCACTTTCTGACTTCAGCACACAACATCTTAGTACAATTCACGCTGCTCCTGTTCAGCATCCTATCACACATCTCTTTGCAGTATCACATTTGCGCACAACACATTTCAAGTAGGAAGTCTGGCCTTGTACAATTCAGGTCACAACTATAATTTAGAGGGCAGCATAAGTAAATTGCTTGTCTGCTTCCCAAGGACCCTTTCCAAAGGCCTATCTAACTACTCATCTAATGTTGCTGGTCTATGACTCTTGCCCACAAGCTAGGTCCCAACCAAAGAGCTAGCTGGTTTGGAGTCTCCAGTAAACACAGGTAACTGTGCTGGAAGTTCAGACAGGCTAGGCTGTCAACTGGACCACTTGAACTTGATGATATTTTTGCCAGAAAATATTCAGAAGATCTGTTTGCTCAAGCTTATCACTACAGCTGATACGCATGCAGGGCAAGAGAAGTGGCAAGTATAGCCCCCTCTGCACTGCAGAAATTAAAGTGATAACCACCTCAAACCAGCAGGATGTGTAGATAAAGCCCTGCAAAAAGTAGATTTTTCATCTCATTGCAGGCTCAGGTGTGTTATCTACTGATAAGGCTGCAAGAAGCATGAACTGAGCTAGCTCCATAACAACACAAGCTGGCAAAGACACCAGGGTAGAGCAGACCACAAACTGCAGTCCATTTTTTGCTCAAGCTGGTAGTTGCCAAACGCTTCCACCAGGTGGATTTCATCTTCATATACTTAAAATATCCACTCTTCTTTCACAATCGTCTGGATCATCTCTCTCCCTACTCAGAATTGCTTAATCTCCTTGTGGCAGCTGCTCACAGGAAAAATAGTCAAAGGCAATACCTAGTGTATTCTGACCATCTTTAAATATAAGCATGGGAATTTCATATGGCTTCTAGGTCTTTCTTTGCTATGAAAGGTCTGGGAGCCTCAGGAAGCATCTGGAAACAAAGTGATGACAAGACCACAGGATGGATCAGGCAACTTGCCAGCCACACACTGCAGTTTGGAAACTCCTTAAAGACATTAAGAACATCTGTGGGATGGAGAACACTGATACACAAGAATTCAACAGGCAGACTATGTTTTAGGCTACAGAATCTACTGGAGAATTTCTGTTTACATTGTATGGTCTTTGTTAAGAAATTTTGATTAATAGAAAAATCAGAATTAAAAGCTAAACTGTGCTTCATGCAACTAGTACTATGATCAAATATCAAAAAGTTATGGAAACATTCTAGTTGAGGAGATAACCCAAAAAATCAGGGTGATGATCCTAAGAATACTTGCCAATGCAGAGAAATTAAGCATGTGACCAACACTGTGGAAACAATCCCATTTAAGTTGGAGTATATAAAAATCAGATTTAGGGAACATCAACGTACTGCAGAGCTCAAATATTCTACTGCCAAAACTCAATAATATACTTTTTGGACTCTTGTACAAAATATATATTTGTCTATCTTTCCATTAGAAAATAAAAAAAGTAGTTTAATTAAAAATTCCTCAGGAAAAGAACATCAGATTGCAAACTAAAGCATTCAGGACTATGTAAATTCCAAATCAGAAGTTGCTTACACTTTCTTAATCTTCTTTCCTTGTGTATGTATGCTATGTTACCCAGAATACCTAAAGTTCTTCATGTTTCTGCTTTCTAGATTTCTGTAGTGACTTCTGTGGGATAAGATAGATGAAAACTAAAATTTGCAACTAGTAGGATATATCAATATTAAAAAATACATATACTGCTCTGTTCAGAAACAACAAAAGCAGATATAAACCTAGAATTCCAAGAGGGGAATTCCCAAAAGGTGGCTTCACAGTGTATCTGGGAGGAGGACAAGGCATGTTGAGGGAGCCAAGGCCATAAGACAGCCTTAGCCTAGAAATGCATATTTCAAGGTCCCCAGTAATCCACCTCTTAGTCCTTTCATTCTGGTTTCAAAAGTGTGTAGATTTATGTGCTTGAAGCTCAGCTCTGTCTCCACATGCTAAAAGTGCCTCATATATTCCTGGGAAGGTACACAGCAATTAAAAAAACCCAACCCAACAGAAGGTGTAGACAACCTTCCTGACAGCATAAGTGCACTTAGACAGCTGAAGGTCAAAACAGGCATATCATAGACTGTAGTAAATGGAGGCACTGCCAGCTCCAGGAACACTTGACAAATCCAAGATGACAAGTGTGAGATACATGACAGGGCTGCATGTGAGCTGGATCTAGGCAGCCCAGGTACACTGGCACCTCCCTGGTTCACCTGCTAGTTCAGGTGACAAACCAGCTCTTTTGCCAGTACAGCTATACACCTCAACTGCTTACAAGTCTCCTGCTGCTTGAGAAATGTCAGTCACTTCCCAAACCAGAGAATTATATAGAGATAATTTTTATTAAAGGTGTGATAGGCTGGCATTCCAGGGCAGGAGATAATTTACAACTTTGTCTCTATAAACTTATAGTCCTCAAACTTAGCAAGAATCTCCACCTTTTCAAATATGTAAGCAACAGATGAGGGAACTAGAATAATCCTATATTGTACGACTTCTCATCAACAGACTCCTTTTAAAAAATATTAACATCCTAAATTACAAGAGCCAAAGAATCTCCTAATATGCAGTGCTACAGTGTTAATACCTATCAGCCTGCAAGAACAAACTCACAGCAGTCTATTATTTCTACGTATGTTTTCTGTATAAGTTTTTTCCTACTCACTGAAACCTGACCACAGGCAGAACAACACTACCAGGCAGACTAAAAGGAAGTCAACTACTTTAATGACTTTGTGAATCATCCCAGTTTTGTCCAGTGTAGATTCACAGTGAACTTATAATCATCTGGATGCAAGACAAGCATTCCAAGACATTCATGTAACATACCTTCTGAACCACCAATAACTGTGCTGTTCATGTCAGCACTAGTTGAGAGGCTGTCACTGAAAGTAGTTCAATTCTTGGGCTTTCCTCCTGTAGCCTGACTGAAAAGCACATTTCTTTGTTTACTCTAAGATGACTTGCTCAGAATTTCAAAAGCTACTTTAAAGCAATTACAGACCTAAAACATAAAGCTATGATCCTGAAAACAACTGTGTACACTCAAGAACATGGAAGGCAGAACCCATGTTCACCTCCATTTAAATCCATGGCCCAGAGACCTACATTGCAAGCATGCATTGAATTCCTATGGACCTAGCTACTCTTCTGGATAAGATTACAGCTAGTTCAAATTTTCAGAGACTTTTAACCACTTTTCTGAGCTGAAGCCTTCAGCACAGACTTATCTTTAAACTCTTATCTTTAAGCTCCATAAAGTTACTGTAATTTGAGCCAGGTT